GAAAAAATAAGTGTTCGCTGTCATCGTGCTATATTCTTTATCTCTTCCGTGATATGTCTGTGCATGAAGCTGAACAAGTAGAACGCTAATATGCATCTTTCATTACATCTCAGAATTAAATTGGCAAATTGAAACGAGATGAAATTTTTATTACTTAAATATGAACACTGATGGTATATGATGTAAATTTTTGACCGCTGAGATAAGTTGTTATGCTTCATAAAAATTGTGATAAAAAATAGAAAGCGTAGAAATCTGAACGAAGTGCAAAGAACAATCGGATGTTTAATTATCTTCAATATGTAAAAATATACAATGAATACAAGATATATAGCGCTGCGAGACCTCTTCCTGGACATTTTTCACATATTTAACAATGAGGCAACACGAAACAAGACGAATGGTAAATGTATTGAAAACTATGCGTCTTTTCAAAACATTTTACAGGAAAAATGAACTTACGAGTGACCTGACGAGCCGTCAAAAGAGCGATTCATGTTTTGATATACGAGCAATATTCAAACTAGTGGGGCGCATGGCATCGTGCCTTAAGGCAAATAGCTGAAACTTTCCGTACCAAATTTTTTTTTTTTTTAAAGATTAACATTTTTGAAAAACATTTACTCTAAAAAATTAGTTTTTTGAGAACTACAAATTTTTGACAAAAATTTACTTTTTTTGAAAAAAAAAAGACTTTTTGAAGAAAAGTGTATTTTAAATATTTTGGAAATTCTGAACTTTTTTTCAAAGCAATCGTACTGCTTTAACTGCATAGAGACGAAATATAGAAGCGCGTAAGCGCCGAGCCGCCGTCTAACGGGTAGCATTGGTTTGGAACCCCTATGAATGTAAACAAAATGTACACTTATTGTTAAAATCTCTATAAAATACATATCTGATAATTTGATGTGCATATGCCTAATAATCATTTTTGACCGCCAGATGGCACTTTTTTAACTTTTTTTACTAGATCTCCGAAACCGCTAGACCTGCCTTCATGAAAATTTGATCAGTTCTTCATCTTGTTAATACAAGTAAAATGTTTTTTAATCATTCAAATCGGACGCTCCTTTCTCTTAAAAACTGAGTTGCCGTTTTTGGCACATTTTGTCCCATATCTTAGGAACGGCTAGACCTGCCTTCGCCAAAAACTAATCAGCACGTCTCCTTATCAATACGCATCGAATGTTTTTTGAATTATTCAAATCGCATCATTCGTGTTCCCGAAATCGTCGACAAAAATTTCGGTATCCGAACACACATACACACACGCACACACACACACACACACACACACATACATCCATTTTTTCCAAGGTATGTGACTTCACATCACAAAAGCAACTTTTGACACAAATTTTGACTATAGTATTTTCTCAAACTTGGATGAATTTTTGAACGATTTTTGAATTTTCAAAATCGATTCAAAATTCCGGGCTAAAACATGGTCAAAAAAATTCACTTTTCTGCTATTTACAAAGAAACGGCTTGGCTGATCGTCGCGCAATGTTGTTAAACGCTAGTCCTCATCGAGATACATTTAAATTTTTGAAATTGGTCCAGCCGCTTCTGAGAAAACGTCGATTTACGGCAAAAAATCTCTTCACATACATCACATACACCACACACGCACGCATGCACACATACATACTTGTCGCATTCGATTCAGAATGACTTGAAACGTCGAGAAAACATACAATTAGCGAATCGGATTTTTTGATGAATACATAAACTACTATTTCGGAAAATTGAATATATGAAAAATTTTGTCAGTTGTTACAATGATCCTACCAATAAATATTTTCGCTGTTTTATGATAGTAAATTATTTTATAGTTAGTTTGAAATTTTGACTATACATTAATATTGATTGTACAGTTATATATGTCGAGATCGCGATTTTTGTGCAATTCAGTTTATATTATTCTTTCGTCAAATTTATAAGGTCTTATATTTTGTCTATAAAATACTGAATGGTTACAGTAATTTAAATAATATATTTAAAAACATTTAAAACAATTATTAATATTTTTTATTCATTATTAATTATTTTTATTCTTCAAATGTGTTACAATAACCAGCAGTTTTGCCTTAAGCACAATGCCATGCACCACTTGTTATTAATTGTTTAATATAATTAAGTATGAACTACTTCCGATTTGGGGTCAGAGTAGCCTTTGTTCTGAAATTTTCAATATTGCAATTCACTTTCTGGGGTTTTTACTCATATAACAAGAAAATATTTTTGCACGAATTAAATAAAAATCAGATAAAATTTTCTTAAGCGATCAGAGATAAACATTGTGATACTAAAGATTAAGTTATAATAAAAAAGGTAACGTAACTTTTAAATATTTTTAATATATACCTTTTTAATATTATGTTTCATAATTTTGACATCAAATTTCTTATATTTCAGACATATAAAATCACAAACTGCAATTTATTTTAATCAATTTCTTATATATGAGAATGCTCCTATCCCTGCACTCATCGATTATCGGCGGTATTGCACTGAACCTAACGGGTCAAAATGACCTCTAATGCAAGTTTACGGACAAACTTTCCTCTCCCTTCCTAAAACATTTCAGATAGCTAATACATGGATGTTGAAGAAAAGTATTATGAAAAACAAGTTTGAAGTAAAAGAAAAAAATTAACATCAGGTCTTATGATAAAGCCAAGGTGAGGTACACGGAAGTAACTTGCAATAAAATCGCGGAAAAGCAAAACCTTGAAAGATATGATTTAATGCATCTGGTGACGTCGTCTACGATGCATCTACAAGAAATTGGATGGACTGCAGACAAAAGCGAAAAAACTTGTAACACGGAAATTAAATCTGGATAACTTGTCAAAGAAAAGGAAGGCATTAACCATATGACAGGTTTACAATGAAAAGTGGAACATGAAAATTGTTCAGCATAATAATAACGGTCTTGCTTTTTGACAAAAAATAATCATTTTAAAAGTTTTACTTATCTTCAGAAGAAAACATTGACCTATATGCGCAAATTTATTCAAAGTATTTTTATTTTCTCGAGTAGGGTAGGGCGGGGCTAGTTGAGCATAGGGGCAAGTTGAGCAATCGAAATATCTCGAGAACTATTCACCGTCCGTTTAGGCATTATATGGCGTAAAGATAGAGGTTTAGGAGAAATAAACATCCCGCGATCGCTAGTGGCCGCTGGACAAATGAGTGAGGCTCACGGGCGTTTTGTTTATTTTGAGACCAAAAAGTAAAAAAGTCATTCATCTCGAGTTTTCGTCTAGTTTAGTCAAATGTTATTTATTTTTAACCAGGTAAATTTTATTCTTCCATATAATTATAGTACTTTTAATATGCACAGAGATTCTGGGTATAATTATCACGGTTTTTTTATAAACTCACTTTTATTTTGAAATTCCGAGTTGGGGCTAGTTGAGCATAGTTGCTAAACTTGTTCTGTCACTAAGACAATTACCATTAACTTCCAGAAATTAATTATTATTTTTAAGATTTAAGCTAAGTCTATGAGTAATGATATAAAGAAATAATGATTTTGAACAAAAATACTGAATATAATGGTCAAATAATTCCTAAGTTAATTAATCGTTAATTATTCAAAGCAAATTACTATAAGTTTTGTTTCCTCTGTCAATAAAGACTATAAATATAGAACTGGTTATTAAAAACTTATTTTATTTCATCACTAATCGACATTGAACCTATAATTTCATTATACTTTCTTAGTGCTCAACTTGCCCCACCTATGGGGTACATTGAGCATACTTGACTTTTTGCATTCAAACAGCTGTAGCTTTTAAATTTTACTTATTACCAAAAACAAGTATTAACAATTTTGTTATGCGATAAACAACAAATCGAATAAGCCGTATAGCAATTTATTGAGACTTTTCATTGAGGAGCTACATCCGTTTAAGTAAAAATTTGCTCAACTAGCCCCGCCCTACCCTATTATTAAATACTTATCATCGATAATTAAAAAATCATCATTACCGTGAACCGCTCAGTCCTAGACAATTGAAGATTAAATAAATCTCTACCTTTGCTAATATTAATTAAAGTGCATTTTACATGAATTATTGTATTATATTTTTTAAATATTTTTAGATTTCATAACAAAATTAGTTGTAAGTGGTATTTTGTTTTAAGGGATGTTGCACGAATAAATAAAATATTTGACTTGATCAATGAGAAATCAATATATTAATTCATCAGTGATTTTAAATGTATTGAGTTGCTATAGGGCATCATAATGTGAGAAAGTACTGCGGATTATTCAATTTTGTAAATTTTTTAACTTCCCGTAGGGCAAGTTATAGTAATCGCAAAAAATCGAAAACTAGTGGGGCGCATGGCATCGTGCCTAAAGGCAAATTGCTGGAACTTCCCGTACCAAAAATTTTTTCTAAAACGTAGCATTTTCTAAAAGCGCAGCGATTAATCCAAACTTTAATTAAATTTATCGTAGGGCCGTAATATTTTAATGTCTATGTTCTTTAAGACCTTATGATGACCTCTATAATTATAAACAGTTTCATAAAAATTGACAAAAAAAAAAGTTCTTTCAACAATTACAAAGAAATGGCCCAGCCGATCTTTACCAAAACCTAATCAGCACAATTCCTAACCAATATCTCTTAAACGAATTTTGAATTTTTAAAATGGATTCAGAATTGTGAGCTAAAACGTATACGAAACATTTTACACCTTTGTGCTAACTTTATAGTTTATAAAAAAAACAGCATGGACGGCTAGTGCTTATCGAGTTAACCCAATTGGATTCAATTTATGAAATCGGTCCAGCCGTTATTAAGAAAACGTCGACGAAAGGCCAAAAATCGGCTCACATACTTCAGAATGATTTAAAACATCTAGCAAATCGGATTTTCTCGCAAAAACATGCTTATGTTTGGGAAGTTAAATATCAGAACAAAATAATCAAATTCTTCGAAAAATTTAAGATTGTATCAATTATTTCATATAAATATGCATACCTCATCTTCGCTGGCTTGAGCAAAACCTTTTAGCGTTAACTGAGCAGCTCCTAAAAATATATAAATAATATCATTATCAATAAAGTATATATGTTAATATGAAGTGTATAATATACTGTGTAATATCATAAACATTTTTTCGATTTTTTTTCTATTTAAATATTTTTAGCATTACTGAAACTGAAATATTATTTATTTTTATTTTTGACAAATTTTTGACTAAGCATCGAATTGTCTTTTTGAAAGCTTCGAAATCACCTTTTTCTGTCATATTTTTAAAACGTCCCTTAAACCACTTTCCTAATTAAATACATACATACATACATACATGTATATATATATATATATATATATATATATATATATATATATTAATTTGGAAATATGAACAAAACACTTTTTGTTGCACAAATTTATTAAATAATAATTTTCACAAACGTTTCGAGACTAGGTTTGTTTCATCATCAGTGTGTTATAATTTAAAATTTAAAATATGGAAACCTAAATTAGCATTATGTGTTATCCGCTAATTTAGGTTTCCATATTTTAAATTTTAAATTATAACACACTGATGATGAAACAAACCTAGTCTCGAAACGTTTGTGAAAATTATTATTTAATAAATTGGTGCAACAAAAAGTGTTGTTTGTTCATATTTGCAAATTAATATCTATTATCCACTCAGAATACATTTGCTATATATATATATATATATATATATATAAATATTTATGTATATGTGTGCATGCATAATTCATACAAACTACTTGCATACAGTTAACTGTACAAAAGTATCTTTTTTACTTTCAATTAAGTAAGTTAAAATATGAAGAATAAAATATGAATATGATCAAAAAAGTATAAAAGCATAAACGTTAAGATATGCAAAACATAAACATATTCTTAATTCATTTTTGCAGACTATATAATATGTGCTTCGTTTTATCGATATTGTTTATAACTATAATTTTTTAATATAAATATAAATTTAACCATTCGGTAAATAAATAGAATTGATCTTAATATTTATATCTAAATTGTGAAACTGTTCATCATGCTGTTCGATGCATTATGTACCTCTAATTATATTTAATCATTATTTAATTCAGATGTTGCAAGTGAAACTTATTCACCGAGACTTTTTTATAATACTATAAATAAAAACTTGCGAAAATATCATGTTGCGTACGCGATCTATTTATATACTTCATCACATGATTTATAATTATTTTATGAAGAACATACTTATAAACGAATAAACATAAACGCATTTTTCACATTATTGTACATAATTTAAAATACATATACTTACATCCAAATCACGGATTACAAATACAGGCCATTAAAATAATCCGCTTAAAAAATTAATCATTTACATCTTATCAATTTATAAATTTTGTCATTTCAAATTACAATTAAAAACATTGCAGTTTGTAGCATAACTTGTATCACGTGCGCGATTTGTCTATTTTTCGTTCAATACAACTGCTTTTTATAAATGTACTCTAAAATTTATAAATTCTACCTATGATTCAATTTAATTTCATGAAGAGAATGTCATTAGTAAATACATTGACTGGTGAATATTTGCACGATGAATGAGGAACCGCAAAAATTCAATAATATAAAACTGATTGTAAATTAAATGCAAGATCTCTTTTGCAATGTATTTTAAAAACCATAAGTAAACAAAAAAATATATTTTTAAAATATGGTTTTTAGTTATTTTTCATTTGCTTGATAATCTATTTACCTAACACATTGAATCAATTGTTGGTAAAGTAAAATAAAAATAAACCTGTACAATGAAAAAGACAAGGTAGAGTTTTACTTACTAACAAATAGACTATTAGGATTTTTTTTATTTCTTTTGTCATAAATTTGATCTAACAACTTCCTTGCGAGACAATTACAGTGATCATTCAGTTTTACATAAATCATTAACTCAATTATAATATTTCCAGAATTATAAAAAAAAATAATATTGATTTTCACATAGGGTAGGGCCGGGAACAAAGATCTAATTTGACGTCAAGTAATTATATTGTCTATATACCAAATGTACTACATCACAAATCACAACACATAACATGTATCAAGCAAACAACTATCGTACTATGTTCAGTAAATTTCTCAGTTAATTTATAATTATAGAAATGTGTCTACTATTTTTTTAAGCATCTCATGAAATAATAGCTACAATATCAATCAATGTAAACTATAAATTTCGTAGGCACATTTTTTTACAAAGATAAGGGGGCGTCTATTAATCACGTTACTTTCTTAGTTTGAAAAAAAATCACAAAATATCACGTGGGGAGTAAGGGGTATAGTAAGATATTACGAGTATTTATTTTTTACCTGAATTTAAAAAAAAATCCAAAAATTTTCAAAAAATAAATTTTAAATTTTTTTCTTGTAACTGAAAATATACGTGATGTTTATTTTGTGGGGAAGAGGGGTAAGGGTAATTTTGAACATTACCACGTATCACCAAGGGGAGGTAGGTCTAAAAACCCCTAATAAATCGATCACGCGATTAATAGACGCCCATTTACATTGTATATAACCATGATCTAGCATTTTGTCAGAAATATTCATCAGCAGAGTTGGAATAACTATTAATTTATTTTTTGTAAAAGTGTAAAAATTTATTTTTATTTACTATTTTTTATTGTTTACGCCTTTGCTGGGTAAAGGTTTATTTGGTACTTTTTATCCCATCCACATGTAAGGATATATAAAAACATGTGTTGAATGTAACTTAAATTTAATAATACAACTCATGAAACAATTAAATAAAGTATACTCAAATATTATATTAAAGTCTCGTAAACTTAACAAGAGTGCCCACAACAAAAAAAAACTAACTACAAAAGAAAATACTTTTGTTATGTATAGATTTTTTAAAATTGCCGTTAATCTCCTGATAGCCACGTTGCTTGATTTGAGGTTATGGCTATTAGGAAAAATTCCTAATTTCACTTGTTTTTGAGATATTAGTGGTGGATCCTTTTACGTGCGAGTCTGTAAACCCCACTCTATTCTATTAATAAACTCAGAATAAATCATTAGATTTTTTAAAATTCTTCTGTTACGAGTTAAATCTACCAACATCCTTGCTAGACTATTAGAATGTTCTATCGGTTCTTATACATCCGACTATGCCCGAGTACCTCAATTGTGATGAAAATCGAAATTTCTATTCCCATAAATATGAAATTGCCGTCAATTAACATACATGTTATTTTGGTTCTCATATGTGCTATGTTTTTACTCTCTTTCGACTTTATTAGCCATAATAAAGTAATTGTGATAACAATCGTCCGATTCGATCGTATATTCTTTGTTGAATCGGAACGTCGAGTTCATATCTGTTGGCCCGCTTGACCGGAATCGATTCGGATCAACATTCACTTTATGTGCGGAATGAGTTTAACGAGTACACACTATAATATATTGTGAACGGCTAATGAATAGTTAGTTTTATACAGCAATATATATAATCGTGACATTTCAATAAGGAAAGATAAATTAAAATGGATCACACCTAAACCAACTCCTGTTCTGACGTGAGTACTAACTAGGAGTTGCGCAAAAGTATCTAAACTTGGAAACGTCATTATAATTATATTCAGTCCCTATTTGAAAGTCTTTTGATTGGTTTTTATATCGACGGCCTGAATGCAGTATCATAAATATAGGAGGCTTTCTTTTTTAAAATCTCTTCATCGTATAGTGAAAGTGACACAAGCTTCTTCGTTTTATTGTTTTTCTATTTTCCTCCTCCCACTAGAGTAGATTTGAGTAATATTGTTTTTTATACAAAAAATTCTAAATATTCATAAATATATTCTAAATAATAAACACAACATTCCAGTTAATTTGGAACACATAGTTACTTTACGATATATTTTATTGTTGTTCATAGAATATTGTTCGTTCTAATTGCTGTTTAATAATAAAAAATGAAAATGAACGATATATTTTGATATATGAACTTTTTTGATATATATATATATATATATATATATATATATAGGGTGGTCCTTAATATGGACATTTTCGAATTTCTTTGCTCCCAAGGACTCGAGTGCTTCCAAATTGATAAAATCCTCTATAAGTTTAAGCTCCTAAGATTGTCTTTTAGATAGTGCGCAATTCAATCAAAGTTTTGTATGGAAATAGCATTTGACGCTCTACAAAACAAACTATAAAAAAACCTGTTTTGTAAACCGTCGAATTTAAAATTCAAAAAAATATGACAAGAATTGTAACTTTTAATTCATTTGTCGCTAAGTTATACCTAAAAGAACTTTTTTCCATGCTATTTTCATACGAAGCTTTGATTGAATTTGCTATCTAAGCGTTAATATCAAGAGCAAAAATTTTTAGAGATTTTTTTTATCAATTTAAAAGCATTTAAGCTCCTGGGAGCAGTAAAATTCTAAAATGTCCATATTAAAGACCACCCTTATATATATAATATAAATATATATAATATATATTAGTATTAAAATAACCCTTCCGCTACGGAAGTGCTTTCTGCAGGAGACACTATTGAACGGACAAGCATAACGATATATTTTAGGATAATTTTATAATTATCAAATAAAATGTGCTAAAAGCTTCTAGTGAAGTAAAATTACTTTAGTAAAATTAATTTAGTGATAAATCTTGAAGCAAAGGCAAACACAACATGTCGTCCAGGGACGACATGCGTACACACAACACATCATGTGGATTCGTCCAGGGACTACGAGAATATAAAATTTTTAAAATTAAATATAACGTACAATTAGGTATGAAAACATAAACGTTATATAATTTGCACTGTGAAAGATTTTTAGACATAATTTTTAAAAAACACAGTATGCAACCAAAGAAAATTGGGACTCTGCATTTAATACTTTAACATTTTCATACTATTATTGTGCTCTATATTTATTGTTAAAAACTTCATATACGCTGATGACGAAAAATAAATAAATATATATATATATATATATACATATAAATACATATGTATTTATATATGTATAATTTAAAACATTTTATGTATCTGAAATAAACATAAATTGTATAAATAGTAGAGAGAAATTTCTAATGTCATCGAGCTGTTAACTAATTTGCAGTATACTTAATAATATTAAACAAATGTAGATATTTAAATGTAAAGATAAATATTTTATTTTACTTTATATATTTAAATATAAGAGAAAGTTCAAAAATATAATTAAATCATTTATTTATACATTTGCAGTCGTACCAACATTATGTTGTCAATTTTATCAACGATTAGAGTAGGAAATATACAAATTTATAGTAATAAATAATAATTACTATAAATAATAATAATAAAATATTGGCTGCGACATAGCACGTCAATATTGCTCCACATATCACATATTTATGAGACTATGAGTGCTCTGCCAAGGGCAGGTTAAACTCCGACTAGAATTTTGCCATTTCATAACCGCAGCGCCCGAAGTAGACAATTTTAAATTGGAAACATATTTTTAATCTATAATTTCGAGTAAAATTTGATATCATTACTGCATGTTATCCGGTTGTCCAGAGCAGGGGTTCATATACATTGTAACACTAAACCAACAACTATTATCCTTATCACAACAAAACAGCTTGTTATATAAAAGTTGTGACTAGTTTGTTGTATTACGTTTAACAATTTCTAATTAGTTCACGATAATAGTATATTTATTCGAATGCAAGAGATCATTAATTAAAATGATTATTTTAATATGCTAAGCCATATATTTTTTTGAATAGTTTAGGGCAGAGATAGAGAACCTTTTTACCATCAGAGGCCGCACTTAAATTAGGCAGCAATAAGAGAGCCCGCATGAGCCGATTGACTTAAGAAAGTGACTTTTGTAAAATTATTACAGGCTTTTTCTGTAGATTTAAATATTCATTGCATTATATGTAAAAAAAACTGCAAAAGTTTAAATATTATATACTTATAAAATAATATAAAAATTTTACAAAAAAAAATACCATAAAAAATATTTTGTGCGTGTAGAGTCTGGGTTTCAGGCTAGCATATGACGTCATGTTACAATATGGCCGTCTTTGGAGAATTTTCGTGAAACTATCAGGGAGGCCGCAGGATCCCTACCTATGGTTTAGGGTCTAAACCAGTAATTTCCAAAGACGGCGCACGCTTCACGCAATTTTTGAATTCAGGGGGGGGGGGTGTATTGTTAGATTAAAAAATGACACGATTTTAACATTATTTTAGATATCTAATAACAAGATAAATATTCGCATAAAAGAAAGAATATTTATAAATTGAAATTTATATAATATTTGCATTTCTTATACTATAACCCCTAAATCACATATTTCTTTAAGTGCGCTTCACATATGTCTAATATTTATTATCTTACACCTATTATTTTTCTTGCATACTATTTTTACTCTTAGCGGGATTCAAACCCAGGCCCTCGTGGCAGACATCGACCTAACCACCGGACCACCGTGACTCTACGAGCACTCGTCTTTTTTTGCGTGTCGTCGTATCACCTTAGCACTAATTATTTAATTATTTAGTAAAGAAACCGCGGAAAAAACAGTGCTGATATATTATTAATGAGGGGACCCAATAGAGTACTGGTTAAGATGCGCAGTTTTTTATATGATCTCTATAAAAACTTGCACGTGAGTGGGGTAAAAAGGACTAAAAAGAACCTTTACCCTAACAAATGTATAAACAATAAAAAATAGTAAATTAAGTTTAAAAAATCAATTTAATAAAAGATATATTAAATAGTTATTCTAACTCTGCTAATGAATACTTTTGAGGAAACACCAGATCAAGGTTATATACTGTATTATTCCTGTAAAAAATATACTGTATAAAATTCATATTTTGCATTGGTTGAATGTTCCCGATTTATTCCGCCTATGGGGCAAAAAAAAACAGGTAAAAAAATTTGAAACACAGCAAAGAAAAATACATTTCTACAATGATAAATTAGCTGGGAGTTTTAATGAACTTGTTATTGGCATATTTGGTTTGGTTTTCACAATATAATTTCTCAAAGTAAAATTGGACCTTTGTGCCCCTATCTATTTTTTAATTTGCTCCCATAGAACTATGAGCAATGATGCTAGGAATCAAAAATGTCTAAAAAGCTTTATTTTACTTTGTGATTTTACTTTAAAATTCGAAAATATTGGGATAAAAGTCCATATTCGTGATGGGTATCGAGTCCAAAACGAGTGATCAAGTTCTTATTACGAATTCACGTTAAAAGCATGCATATGCGTAAGTATATGTACATAACATAATAAATTTAATTTACCTGATTCAATTTCATTGTCCAAGTCGATATTAAGTTTATTTTGCATTTCTTCCAACTTTGCATTCAGATCTCTAGTGTGTATAAAAAGGAATAGCGTGCATGACACGGCCATCAAGGCCAGTAATTCACTAGTTCTGGAAAGAAAAAATAATTAATGTAGTGACTAATAACTAAATAGTTTATGGCTTTAATAGTTCTAAATCAAGTCCAATTTCTCGTACGATAGTCAAGAAGTGCAATCGAAAATAAATCATTCGTTCAACAATAGAACGAGTTCGTTGTGTTCATAATCGTAAATGACAATGTTGTATTGTAGTTCATCGGCATGTACTGTAATATCATACTCTGGTAAATAATAAATACGGCTATTTATATCATCTACAACAGCTATCTTATAACTTATATTTATTATTCTCAACTATTGTATACATATTAATGAATTATAGATATTTAATAAAATGACTGAAAGATACGGTTTTATTGCAAAGATAGGTGACTACTCAATGCTTCAATAGTTAACTAACAAATAATTTTTTTTATACAGATCATTTAACAATATTTTTTGCTGCTAAATGTACACTTTACTGATATAACAATGGTTGTATATAAAAAAATCCAGATTCTATGCAGCATTGTCGTGTATTAGTTTTTTATTATAAAAATGTAATAATGCATTAAGCTAAAGATAATTTAACCGCAAAAATTTTTCGACAAAATGTGTTGACAGTACGCTAATGAATAACTAGTAATTCCAGAACTTCCGATTTGGAAAATAAGTTAAATTTTAATTTTAACCTTTAATCAAAAGTAATTTTAATCCTATCTAGAGTTCTAAGTTACTTCCCCAACAACCTAATATTTTTCTAATACTTACCCAAAATTCTAATCAATCTAACAATAATATTAGATATTTATTGTGTTACAAATGAATAAAAACTTATCCCATTTTTTTTATCACACGATAAAAATATTGCGTGTTTTTGTGCACTTACATATTATAACAAAGAATTATTTTATCTTATTTTAACATCGCTATCAAGAGTTCAGGTTATGTTTGAAAATCTATAAAAATAGTATTTTCTTTTGTTTTTAGTTTTTTTTTTTGGTTGTGATCACTCTTGTTTAGTTTACAATACATTTATAATTTTTAAAGATATGTTATTGAATTGTTTTATAAAATCTATTGTTAATTTCAAATTAGATTCAACAGATGTTTCTATATAACCTCTATAATGGCTTACATGTGGATGGGGCAAAAAGAACCAACTGAACCTTTACCCTGGCAAAAAAGTATATAATAAAAAATGTAAATAAAAATGTAAACTCAGTTAAAAAAAAGCAATTTTACAAGGAAAAAAATTAATAATTATACCAACTCTGCTCATAAATACTTCTGATAAAATACCAGATCTAAGTCATATACAATATAATCTTTGTAAATTTTTCATTGATTAAATATTTAGCTATTATTTTGTAAAATCAGACATTAGAAGAACTGTTGTCCCCTGACTGTCCCATTTTATCTATGTTTATGGGGTAAAATGGGCCATATGACAAATTTTAGAAAAAAAACTGTAGTTGTATATTTACACATGTTACATGTATGATGTAGTTCATTTGGTTTAAATAGTGTAATTACTTGAAGTTCAATTGGACCTTTGTACCCCGCCCTACCCCATATAACTATAAGTTTGCAGTCATAGTAGATAAATTAAAGTATAATACAGTGAAGTGAATCAATATCCATTAGTAGTTAAGGCGAACTTAAGCATCATTGATTTTTTTATCGGAACAAAATAATAGAAAATAAAATTACAAATGCAAGAAGTCGTTCTACAGTAGCCATTTTTTTGTCTGATTAAAACAAATTTTTATTTATTAATTTACATTTAAATCAAAGTAAAAATATTAAGAGACATAAATTAATTACTACAATAAAATATATACAATATGTTCTCACAGCTCAAAATGCAAAACTTTAATTTCTACAACTATTTATTTATTGATGTCAAAAAATGGCAAACAATTACTTTGTCAAATCAACTACACTGTTTTTTTTCGCAAAATATTTTAGCAAAAATCATTGCAATATTCTGACCAAAATCATAAGCATGCTTTGAAATTTTAGATTACATATATCATTTTCTCAGAAAATTTATAAGACACTAAATAAAAGAAACATAAATATATATATAGAACACGCCTTTTTACTGTAAATAATTTTTATGCTAAAAATTAAATTAAGTAAATCTTAAACTTGTATAATTTTTCAAAATGTAATAGATTCTTTTAAAGTGATTGCATTATGATGCGGATAATGCATCCGGATATGATTGATCGATCTGGAGCATCGGCCAGACAAATAGAATCCCGGGTCATAGCGTAACCTAATAAAATATAAATACTGTCTTTAGTTAATAAGAAAAGTAGCGTGATAAATTAATAATAGTAAACAAATTTAGCATGATATATGTAATAGCTAACACTTTTTTAGAAAATATTTAAGTAGGTGTTTGTAAGGTGACCATACGTCCCGAACTGTTTGGAACAGCCCCACTTTCCACCTAGCGCTCGAGATTTTTTTAAAAAACAATATTGATCCTTAATTGTTCCAAACTTTTGAAAATGTTTATTTTTAAATATATTTTAACTAAATTTGAAACAAAAGTCCTGAATACGAAACGTGAACTTCACTATAAAAAATTATACAAATATGTTTACAATGCTTAAAACCGCGGGAGATGTTTAACAATATTGAGAGTTTTGTATTCAATTATTCGGATTAATAAGTTTGTTTTATTAGTTAAAAAAACTGATGTTTATTTTATTACTAAATATAGTATTTATTGTATATAATTTTTATTATATTCAACTGAATTTGAAATAAAAAAAAATATGACCACCTTATAATTAGTATTAGAATAGTTACTATATATTACTCTTAAAAAAATCAATAGATATGGGTAATTATATCTCTTGATCTTCGTCGGAACACAACTTAATAGTTCAGCTAGTGGAAAACAATAATAATCTGTGCACAAAAACATAAATACTGAAGTAATATTAGGTTAATTTAATAATAATTAAATTGTTTCATATCACAGTCGATCTTGATTTTTTTTAAATTTTAATGAAATATTGAGCAATACTTATTTGAATGAATTTTGACTAATAAATATAGCATTAATATAAATAAAAAACTCAAGCTATATTACTAACTAAACACAACTTAAAGTCTTCATTACTCTAAACTTTGAAGTAACTTTAAAATGCTGCAGAGTCAAAAACATTAATCAAATGTGATTACCTTTAAAATAAATACGTGCACATGAAATTACATGTACTTCAGATAGTTTTAAAATAATTTAATAAAAATCAAATAAACATGTATAGAAGAGCTAAGGGCTTGTTGTAGTAGTTCGTCGAACTACAGGAGAGTCGCTGTGGCAATATTATGCAGAACGGTATACATGTTCAATGAGATGAAAATCTATTTCGTTCAAGATACTATTAAAAAACGCTTATTACTAGTCACCCCTAGTTACCCCCTAGCTCCCTTATATATGTGCTAAAAGAGTATGCAGAAATATCACGTTACCTATATTTCTTTATATTATACTAAAATTATTTTAATCATTATTAAAGAAAATCAAATGGTAGCATAAATAATATTTTATCTAATATAATTAGCGGATTGGTTACGAAATGAAAAACATATTGCATCAATATCCCTTATCAATAAATTTGATGAATTTTCACTAATGTATTATTACTGATTTTACTTTAGTCTTAGGGACCTACTCAATATTAAACAAAACCCAGAACAAAAGATTACCTGCAGAAGTGATTTTCTAACCATGCCTAGATCTAATACTGCTACTCTTGCTGGTGATATTGTAATTTTGACAAGCATTGCTAACACTGCTCTTGCTTCTAACATCTTACAAAACCACCTCAAAGAAATTTATTTCAAATACTTGGACAAAATGGTTGCGCATCACAATTAAATATAAGAAGTCAACCTTTATTACATTCACACTTAACAAGTCAACCTGTCAAAAAGTTTACATAAATGAAAGGAAAATTTGTGAAATATCTGGGTATTCAAATAAATCGCACACTAACATGAAAGTCGCTCATCGTTGGCAAACTCAAGTGAATTACACTCAAACTTTTTAATTTAAAGTAGCTTATTAGTCATAAATCAGAACCTATTATTAGATAACAAGCTGCTAATGTATACATTAATATTAAACCTATACGTACTTGTAGGAGCCAACTTTGGGGCTAATCCAATGCTAACCATACAAAACCGATTTTTGATACACCCATTGTTAATTAGCAAGAAAGTCATACTCAGAAAAGCAATTTGAACGCGAAATGAAACATGAAAAATTCACTATCATATAACAATGGCTCATTCGCTCCTTATTCGGCAAGATTACACTTATTTCGTTCAAAATGTTATAACTGTAGTAAGTATTCTCAGTTACATGTTTTATGTTCTGTTGCAACATAGAAATAATATTAAGCAGTACAAAATAAAAGCTACTGTTGCACTTATACATAACGAGTTTGTCCGGCGTGAGCAAAACTGACAATCCGAAACTCTGTGTGCGCGCCAAAATATTCTGCGCATGCGCAAAAAGGTTCAGCGCATGCGCCAAAACGTTCTGCGCATGCGCCAAAGCTTTCCGCGCTTGCTGTTTCAATCGGTCGCGAACTGCCAGTTTTGCTCACATAGGACTCAAATTGTTGCGAGAAGCAGAACTAATGTTATTTGTTTTGACATTTAAGAATGTAATAAGCGCTCACACAATTGCCGCCCAATTAGCTTTTTTTTAGCACAACAAATTGAGAGTAAAGTTTTTTAACTACTAACAAATTGAGAGTAACGCCAAGGAAACATAACTTATAAATATGCACCAAGAATATTTCTTGGTGCACCAATAATTAACACCTTATTTTCCAACGTACTCTAATTTGTGACATGTTATGTCATCATGTAAGGTCGGTAACGTAACATAGTCATATTATCTGACAATGCCCATTAATGAAAAAAATGTATTCCTTAGTCAATTGATTATTGGAGCAATTTTTACTTTTTCTGGTTTCTTCCTTTTGTTTCATCATG